AATGGCATTATCTCAGCCCACTGCAACCTCTGCCTCCCGGGTTCAAGCAATTCTCCTGCCTCAGCCTCCTGAGTAGCTGGGATTACCCACCACGCCTGGCTAATTTTTGTATTTTTAATAGAGACAGGGTTTTGCCATGTTGGCCAGGCTGGTCTCGAACTCCTGACCTCAGGTGAAATGCTCACCTCGGCTTCTCAAAGTGCTGGGATTACAGTCGTGAGTCACTGTGCCCGGTCCAGAACTTATATACCTTCTAAGCTATATGTCTACGTGTAAGTGTGCATTCATCTAAAGACAAAAGTGAATAACTTCTAATCTATGACTAAAATCTGAGTTTTGAAGACCTTCCTCTGGAGCCTCAATAAATTGACTTAATCTAGATGGGCCCAGGTGCCAGGGTGATTACCCATATCTTCTCTCCTGCTAAATCATGGAGGTTTGGGGACTTTGTTCAGACCCCCAATAAACTTGTTTGTGGAGGTCTGGGGAGTTTAGATCCCCAGTAAAACTTGTTTAATCCTAAATAGGTCCTGTTAAGAATTGTTTCATTATCTTGTCATGCTATAAGACCCAGGAAAGGCCTGGGCAAAACTCTTGTTGGGCTTTTGTTACCTCCCAGCCTTTGTATAACGGCACTGGATCTTTTAACTTTTAATATTTATTTATTTATTTATTTATTTTTGAGACTGAGTACTGCTCTGTCGCCCAGGCTGGAGTGCAGTGGTGTGATCTTGGCTCACTGCAAGCTCCGCTTCCCAGGTTCAAGTGATTCTCATGCCTCAGCCTCCCGAATAGCTGGGATTGCAGGTGTCCACCACCACACCTGGCTAATTTTTGTATTTTTAGTAGAAACGGGGTTTCACCATGTTGCCCAGGCTGGTGTGAACTCCTGAGCTCAGGTGATCCGCCCGCCTCGGCCTCCCAAAGTGCTGGGATTACAGGCGTCAGCCACTGGGACCCGCCAGCTTTTAATATTTAACTATTCGGTCAGTGCTGAAACAGTTGTTACGGAGGCCTGCATGAGTGACAGCTGGCCTGCCACACTAGAAGCACACAAGTGGGGGTTACAGGCAGGAGGGAGTTTAGAACGGGGTAGTTTTGCTGATTAAGGTAACTGGAAAGCAAAGGAGCGGGTGTCTTAGGCGGATAAACCCGTGTGAGGCCGCAGAGGTGGGAAGAGGCCATGTGCAGGACACAGGATAACTCGGTGGAGGGCCTGCATCCTGCTGCCAGGGCAGGCAGGAATTTTCCTGGGGTGACTTTTGGCTGACTGTTGCTCCTTTTTTCTCTTTTCTTCTCCTTCCCAACACCTCCCCCCACCCCCACGCCGCCCCATCCCCGTAGCGGTGGTCCTTGGCCTGCCCAGCGCCCAGGCCATGGGGGCCTGCGCGCGCGCCTGCCCGTCCGCCTGCGCCTGCAGCACCATGGAGCGCGGCTGCTCTGTGCGTTGCGACCGCGCCGGACTCCTGCGGGTGCCGGCCGAGTTCCCGTGCGAAGCGGTCTCCATCGACCTGGACCGGAACGGCCTGCGCTTCCTGGGCGAGCGGGCCTTCGGCACATTGCCGTCCCTGCGCCGCCTGTCGCTGCGCCACAACAACCTGTCCTTCATCACGCCTGGCGCCTTCAAGGGTCTGCCACGTCTGGCCGAGCTGCGCCTGGCGCACAACGGCGATCTGCGCTACCTGCACGCGCGCACCTTCGTGGCGCTCGGCCGCCTGCGCCGCCTGGACTTGGCCGCCTGCCGCCTCTTCAGCGTGCCCGAGCGGCTACTGGCCGAGCTGCCGGCCCTGCGCGAGCTCTCGGCCTTCGACAACCTGTTCCGCCGCGTGCCGGGCGCGCTGCGCGGCCTGACCAACCTGACGCACGCGCACCTGGAACGCGGCCGCATCGAGGCGGTCGCCTCCAGCTCGCTGCAGGGCCTGCGTCGCCTGCGCTCGCTCAGCCTGCAGGCCAACCGCGTCCGTGTCGTGCACGCCGGCGCCTTCGGGGACTGCAGCGTCCTGGAGCACCTGCTGCTCAACGACAATTTGCTGGCCGAGCTCCCGGCTGATGCCTTCCGCGGCCTGCGGCGCCTGCGCACACTCAACCTGGGTGGCAACGCGCTGGACCACGTGGTGCGCGCCTGGTTCGCCGACCTGGCCGAGCTTGAGCTGCTCTACCTAGATCGCAACAGCATCGCCTTCGTGGAGGAGGGCGCCTTCCAGAACCTCTCGGGCCTCCTTGCCCTGCACCTCAATGGCAACCGCCTCACCGTGCTCGCCTGGGCCGCCTTCCAGCCTGGCTTCTTCTTGGGCCACCTCTTCCTCTTCCGCAACCCGTGGTGCTGTGACTGCCGCCTGGAGTGGCTGCGGGACTGGATGGAGGGCTCCGGGCGTGTCACCGACGTGCCATGCACCTCTCCGGGCTCCGTGGCCGGTCTGGACCTCAGCCAGGTGGCCTTTGGGCGCTCCTCCGATGGCCTCTGTGTGGACCCCGAAGAGCTGAACCTCACCACGTCCAGTCCAGGCCCGTCCCCAGAGCCAGTGGCCACCACTGTGAGCAGGTTCAGCAGCCTCCTCTCCAAGCTGCTGGCTCCTAGGGTCCCGGTGGAAGAGATGGCCAACACCACTGGGGGGCTGGCCAACGCCTCCCTGTCCGACAGCCTCTCCTCCCGTGGGGTGGGAGGAGTGGGCCGGCAGCCGGGGTTTCTCCTAGCCTCTTGTCTCCTGCTCAGCGTGGTCCAGCACGTGGTGTTTGGCCTACAGATGGACTGACCTGGCCAGAGGGAGAAAGTTTGCTTAACTAGGCTTGAGGGTGTTTGTGGTAAGGGAGAGGGGTGGGGGGCAGAGGTGAAAATCCCAGTGGAGGATGGAAGAAGCAGATTGCCTCCAGAGATGGCCCCAGGGAGAACACAGGGACGTGCCACTCCAGAGGGGAGGATGGTATGGATTTCTGCTCTTGTCACACGGGCGTCCATTGGAAAAGAGAAGCAAGAATTAACATGGGTCCTCACGTGAGAAGACTAGGAATCCGAAGCTTCTAGGGCTTCATACCCCCTCCCCTCCCCTTCCCCCATCTTCCAGGCAACAGTGCCTGCAAGGCCTGAATTAGAGAGACATCCACTGGCTGAGTAGTTAAGAGCCGGGCCAATTCTCCTGGCGGGGTAACTCTTTATACTCAAGTCCTTTGTTTTCGACCACAATCCTCCTCCTCCTCTCCAGGGGCCTGGGGACACTAGGATTCAGGAAGGTGGGCAGGACTTGAGAGAAGGGAGATGGGAAAGAGACTTAAGACAAGGGGCGGCGGTGGTTCTTGCGGTCTGAGATGTATTGGGAGGCGTTTAAAACAAAGATCCAGTTCATTTACTCCACAGTTATTCCCAGGGGTGGCCCCAGCCACAAAGGAACTTTAGGGGAAGGGTAGGGGAAAAAGGGGCAGCAGGGGGTGTTTGTGGACAAATAAATTTGTAAAATCCGAGGATTAAAAAAAAAAAAGGTTAAACCGGTTTCTCCAGTGCTGGACTTTTCAGAGTCTTTCATATGCTAACATGCATTGTGAATCTCCCAGGAGGCCACACAATCCTTTTTTCTTAGGGTTTTGTGGGAAGAATGTCCGGAAGACACAGGGATTGGGGCAGGGAGGCTCCAGCTTGGATGATTCCATTAGGTGTGGAAATCATTATGGGCTGCACACTTCAGGGCTGACTAATGGCCAAGAGGGAAGGAGGCAGCCAGTAGCTGGGAAAGGGGATTTTGAGCTTTCTCAGGTTGGGGGTTGGCCAACTGTATTCCCCCTGACTGCAAGGGCAAAGGCCAGCCAGGCCTGCAGCGAGCATGCGTGGCCTCTGGGTGTGCTGTGCCTGAGGGCGGGGCTACCAAATCCCACCTAGGGGCCCTACCAAACCCAGCTTTTTTCAGGGCTGCAGTGGAAACGAATGGCGTTTGACTGTTTTGTCCGCCTCAGGATCAGCAGCTCGTTTAGCATAGGCTCCAAGAATAAGGCTTTGCAGGCTGAATTGCAAATGCGGGTTCTGCTGGCCTGCCTTGCCCGCAGAACCGTCCTGAGCTGGTCACAACAGGCACGGATTCCTGCCAGACTATGAGGCAGTCAAGTCAAGAAAAGTGCATATGCTGCTCACCACTTACCCAAGAACCCAAGCTGTTCACTACACGAGTGCTATGACTGCATTTGTCAACATTCTGGAAACTGTAATCTTTTTAATGTCCTCTCTATTTGAAGAGATGGGTTTTGAAAATCAACACGAAGGCCGGCACAGTGGCTCACCCCTGTAATCTCAGCACTTTGAGAGGCTGAGGCGGGCGGATCATGAGGTCAGGAGTTCGAGACCGGCCTAGCCAACATAGTGAGACTCCGTCTCTACTAAAAATACAAAAATTCGCCAGGCATGGTGGTGCACGCCTGTAGTCCCAGCTACTCCGGAGGTTGAGGCAGGAGAATCACTTGAACCCAGGAGGCAGAGGTTGTGTTGAGCCGAGATCACACCACTGCACTCCAGCCTGGGCAACAGTGAGACTCCATCTCAGAAAGAAAAAAAAAAAAACCCACATGAATTCAGGGTGCACCAAGCTGTCACTTCTTCTTTTTTTTTCTTTTTAGTTTCACTCTTGTTGCCCAGAGTGGAGTGCAGTGGCTTAATCTCGGCTCACCACAACCTCTGGCTTCAGGTTCAAGAGATTCTCCTGCCTCAACCTCCTGAGTAGCTGGGATTACAGGCATGCACCACCACACCCGGCTAATTTTGTATTTTTAGTAGAGACGGGGTTTCCATGTTGGTCAGGCTGGTCTTGAACTCCCAACTTCAGGTGATCTGACCGCCTCGACCTCCCAAAGTGCTGGGATTACAGGTGTGAGCTACTGTGCCTGGCCAAGCTGTCACTTCTTCATGGTGACACTCCCGTGTCTCTGTTTAATACTAAGTATTGGAAATGTCGCACAAAGTACTGCTGAGGACAGGTGTATTCAAATGTTTCAACCATTAATGGTCATCAACTCAATGGGTTTTAAAGTTTTTAAAAAACCAGACTGGGCACAGTGGCTCATGCCTGTGAAGCCAGTGCTTTGGGAAGCTGAGGCAGGAGGACCGCTTGAACCCAGGAGTTCAAGACCAGTGTGGGCAACATGGTGAGACCCCATCTCTACAAAACAAAAACCAAAAAATTAGCTGGGCAAGGTGTTGAGCACCAATAGTCCCAGCTATGTGGGAGACTGAGGTGGGAGGATGTCTTGAGCCCAGGAAGTTGAGGCTGCAGTGAGCTGTGTTCATACCACTGCACTCCAGCCTGGGTGACAGAGCAAGGCCCTGTCTGGA